GCGAGCTGACTCCAAGCGTCATAACACGCACAGGTCTGCCTGAACGATCTTCGAATAACTAAACTACATACTATTTAAACTATAGTTAACTTCACCAAAATGTTACGATTGATAAATTATTTGTATAAGCTTAGATAGGTCGAAAATATCCCAGTTAGAAAATATTCGTAAATAGACCAAGCTCTGCTTCTGTTTGAGGCCAATTTGGAACTAGCTACGGTACCTAATTTGAAAAGAATTTGTTAAAATTCTGTTGTAGCACACTTATTGAATGTTAAAAGAATTAGTTCCAGTTCGTTGCTTTAAGTTTTTGAATGTGTTGCGTAACTCTTCTATGTCCTATGTCCTATGAAAATATTTTATGTATTACTGAATGAATGAAGCTTTTGAATGCAGCGAGTCAGTAAATTTAATTTAACTAGAGGCAAACAATTTTCATTTTAACAGGAGTTTTTTTTCGTTTCAAGCATTTTTTTTGTTAAATTATAAAAAAAAAAAACGGAAAGCTTTAAAAACCTAAAGCAAAATATATATATTAAATTAAACAGAAAGTTGTTTTTCCCTAAATAGTTCTATAATTGACTTCGCAAAACGGAACTTGTAAATTTAAATATTTCTGAGCCAAATTATTTTGCCATTTAGAAGGCAGCTAGTTCTTTGTCTTCCTCTTACCCTTAGTCAACTACATGCTACAAATTATTCCAAATGATTTGGGTTCCATACATAGGGTCTATTATGTGCCAACTATGAGTAGACTATATATTTCTTATAAATAGATGTGTGTATCTTTTAGAGTTAAGCTAGTATACTTAAGATCATTTTAAAAAAAAAATAAATAAGTTGTAAACGCACGACACTTAAGACTTTTGATGACTCCACCAAGAGCTGGCTGTGCGGCGGACGTGGAGTCGTCCGCATTGTCACCTGGCGGCCCAAGCCTGTTATATTTCATTGTCAACAATTTGGCAGCAAACCAAATTGATCCAAATTAATTTTAATGACCTCCACGGACCACAGCGCAGGGTAGACCATAAAATCTTAACAAGTAAGTGAAAAGGCGACGGCCCCAAAGAAAGCCCAGCAATGTGCTCCAGCTTAGGGCTGGGGCTCGGGCTCCGGCTCGGTCACGGGCTCGATCTCGGGCTTGGCCTCGGCCTCGGCCTCGGGCTCATCGGCTCAGCCGGGCCAGTGTCTAAATAGCGATTTGGTGTCATCGCTTAAAAGCCTGTCCGACGCACAACGCCGCCGCGGAGTAACGCCACCGCCAAGTGGCGCTGCCTTTGAAGTGTCGTCGATGGTATGGCAAAAATGCCGATTGGGACCTAAAGCAGAAGGAGAAGCGGGCGCAAGCTTGGTATAATATTAACGCCTTGATGTGAACATGGACCGTGGACTGGCCTTAGTTGCAGTTCCAGTTCCAGTCGTTGCCTTTGTCTGATTTTCTTTGGCCTGAGGCATCTTCGTTGCCGTCTCCTTTCCTCTTCATATATATTTTTTTTTTAATTTTTTTTTTTTTTTTTTTTTGGCGTACGCTCGATCAATTAGGCAAACTTGTTTTACGACCGCTTTTATTAGCGTTCGCTGGCCGGCGCTCCAAGTATCTTAAGTCCCGACTCTCGCCGCCGCGGCATACCATCTGCTGGCTGAAGGAGGGGGTTGCGGCTGGGTGCGAATGCGAGTGCTTGAATGAGTAATGAGACGCTCGAAACCGCAACCAGCAGTAGCGGCAGCTTTGGAATGTGTTTGCACAAATTATGCGCTCCGTAGGGTTGTGCAAGTGCATGTGGCTGGATTTTGGTGGACAAGGCAGTAGAAACTATTTGTTGCCACTGAGTGGGAGTTGCGAAACATTTTGCCAAACAGTCAAAGGGGCTTCTATCTGCTTTCCCGTCTAAGTTTATCTCTGATGTAACCATGATAAAAATAAACACACGAAATACAGCCTAATGCTGTTGTTGTGTTTAAGCCAGCGAAAACAAATCAAACTGACTTGGCGCAATCAGATGCGGCAGCTGGACTGCTAGCAGACAAGTATCTGACTCAAATGAGCAATATCAGGTTTTTCCTTCCGAAATACAATATATGCATATATGTGGATGTGCAATATCTTGATTGAATTTGCTTATAAATTTAACCGCATTCGGTTAAATTTAGTTAGGTAGTAAAAGTAAATGAAAAATGTAACCACTTTTAAAGCATTGTGAGATTATGAATTATAATTGTATAATATTATTTAAGCTATTTTCTCCATTCATGAAATCAAGTAAAACCATCTCAATTAAAAACCAACATCCCAGCTCTTATGGCCAGCATCAGGAATTGGTATTGTACTTAAAAGATGGGTTAAGAATAATATGCAATATTATTTAAGATATTTTATCCATTTAAATATTATAGAAAATATAAGTAAAAAGCAACTCTCAGCTCTTACAGCTTTTGTGGCTACGTAGTTCACGAATTTTGTTATATATGCCGACATTTAAAGAAATAATTCCAATATGTCTATAACTAAAAAATATTTGGTAAATTTTCAAGAGTTAACTTCCTAAAGTATACAAAGCCTTAAAGAAGAAAATATTTCATTATGATTCTTATAACTATTGTAGTAATAATAATAATAATTATTTTTATATAATAATATAATATATAATAATATTACTATTACTATTACTATTACTATTACTATTACTATTACTATTACTATTACTATAACTATTACTATTACTATTACTATTACTATTACTATTACTATTACTATTACTATTACTATTACTATTACTATTACTATTACTATTACTATTACTATTACTATTACTATTACTATTACTATTACTATTACTATTACTATTACTATTACTATTACTATTACTATTACTATTACTATTACTATTACTATTACTATTACTATTACTATTACTATTACTATTACTATTACTATTACTATTACTATTACTATTACTATTACTATACTATTACTATTACTATTACTATTACTATTACTATTACTATTACTATTACTATTACTATTACTATTACTATTACTATTACTATTACTATTACTATTACTATTACTATTACTATTACTATTACTATTACTATTACTATTACTATTACTATTACTATTACTATTAATATTACTATACTATTACTATTACTATTACTATTACTATTACTATTACTATTACTATTACTATTACTATTACTATTACTATTACTATTACTATTACTATTACTATTACTATTACTATTACTATTACTATTACTATTACTATTACTATTACTATTACTATTACTATTACTATTACTATTTTTATTATTATTATTATCATTATTATTATTATTATTATTATTATTTTTAACTATATTTGGATTTGGCTGTAAACATTTGCAAGGGTCTTAAATTAAGGCCGCACCTGTTTAGTTGGATCAATTCTCTAGCCGCTCTGAGCCGTTCTGCTGCAACAAATGAAAACATTAGCGAGCCGTGGTAATGCGGCTACTTGATGGCTGGCAGAGGCAACAGCCAGTGAACCTGTTCCATTTCTTGGCCAATTGCGATTCTAGAACGGCAAAAACGACCAAGCCGACCATAAAATAATAATTCAATGTGACAGGCGACAAGATACGACAGCGGGCGCCATTTTTCACACACCCTCCCCCCACACAACACTCCGTCACGAACCCAGCCGCACGGTTGTCAGATGCCGAGCACATTGCGCACTTGTGCCTGGTGACACTATCGCACAAAATTATGACAGACTTACAACTGTTAGAGAGAGAGCAAGAGGGGCTATAGGGAGATAGACACAGCAAGAGAGAGAGAGAGAGACAGAGAGGGGGGACTTGGCGCTAATCTCTGTGGCTGTGCATGCATTTGAATTTCTATTAAGCTAATAGCACTGCATTCAAGTGTTTGCACATGTGCGCACACAATTTAATAAGAATAATAATAATAAATAGTAGATGCGTTTGTTTATTGTTTAGATAGACATGGGCGAGATACCTGCTCAGGGTATGCCCCGATAAAGGCCAACATAAAGTGTCCAAGCTGTCCGGCTGGGCTGCATTTAATTAGCCAGTGAAACATGTCAGCCATGTGTTTGACCACCAACCAAGTCGGCCTTTTGAACCCGCCACGAACCAAGCGGGCTTCCAGGCGCCACTTAGGCAACTTCAAAGCGTCCGAGCCGCTTCAAGAGAGCTTAGCCCGTTCGAGGTGGTTGGTTGGTTGGTAGTCGTATGTGCTGGCCGAAATGCATCCCGACTGCATCCCAGTTGCCATCATCGTTGCTCGGCATTACAAATCGACAAACGACACGAAAATGCGCTTTAACAACGCGCAGTTAAAATAGATAAAAGAAGATAGCCAGACGCCGCCGCCAACGAGCAAAGGTTTTCCAGTTCTGAGAGGTGGAAAGAGACAGCGAATCTTCCGTAAAGCTGCAGCTCAAAAGTTAAATTAAAGTCAAATCTATAGCCAAAAGATTTCTCAAAGCTCAATTTATAGCAACAATTTACAGCAGTTAAGACCTCGCAGAATGCGAGGAACGAACAAATTTGACTCTTCAAGAAAAAATGTTTGATGCGCTTGAATCTTTGTACGTTTATATTACATTTACATAACAACCAATTTATGTAACAATCTTATATAGTAGACTTATTAGAGAAATTGATGAATTATTTATTGTCCTATGAGAGAATATTTTATTGATATTGAAATTGCTTAATTGCTGAATTGCTTAAGGCACGTTTCCTGGTTATATGCACACATGAACATTCAACTGCTTTCAAAAATTATTATTCCTTTTTTTTTAAACAAATAATATATCTGAATTGCTAATCAACCTTATGTTCCATTGGTACTTTTGATATGAACAGCATAAGTACATGCCTTTAAAAGAATTTAACAATGGTTTAAATATTATAATCAACATCATTATTATTGTGACCATATTTAGTTACAAACTATCAGCATACCCTTTAAATAGCATTAACTGACATTTTCCAGTTAAGATAAAATACACATTAAAAGTGTAGATCGTACGTTAAAGCCTATTTTATAAGCATGTAACAACTGTAGGTTACATAAAAGCTTTAATATAAAAATAAGTATTAGCACAACTTTCAATACGCGCAGATGACGTCACAAAAGCCAAGTCAACTGCAAGACACACACACGCAATCGTACGAGTTCTAGGAAAAAATATCGAAATTCCAAGAATTCACACGAAATACAAAATGAGATTGCCTCGAGCGAGCGAGCGACGGTCAACCAAGCGGGCGAGCGAGCGAGGGAGCTGGAACGATGCGGCAAGGTATTCCCTTGTCTCTGGTGCTTATCACAACTCACGCGCGTCTCGTTCCATTTCGAACCCAAAATCACATTATCTCCGTTGCCCAATACCAATGGCAACGGCGACTCAACTAATGGATACTCTGCGGCGTAAAGCATATCACAGATGATGATGATGGGCTCTTTGGGCAACAACGAACGAGAAGCAGACGCCGCCGACGCGGCCGCTGCCGCCGTTGCCATGGCCGTAGAGGAAGATTGAAGATGCGGCGCTTATCGAAACAGAAACACAAGACAAGAGACAAACGGCAAAGAAGACGAACCCGAAAAGAGTTCAGCTGGCTGCGCAGGATAGCACTCGGTCTATACTGGAACTCTGGATCTGGAGTCACCGAGTCACCAGCTCACCAGCACTCTGCGCATATTTCTGTGTCTCTGCTTATCGTCGGCGCTGCGGACTTTTTGTTTTATTTCTTTTTTTTTTGGTTTTCGTTTTTTTGTACACGTTTGCATCTTGAAATGCACATGGGCAAAATGATCGGAGCTGTGACGGCGCTGAGAAAGGGTTCCACTTCCACCTCAGAAATGTGGCGCCAAAGGAAGCGTTGAAAATGGTACTTGATATTGATCGCGATGTCCGTGTGTGTGTATCTCTACATCTGTGCGAGTGTGCGTGCGTGCGTGTGTGTGTGAGGTTCTGTAATTTAGACGGCGCCTCGATCCTTGTTTCACACTAATGCACTTGCAGCTTTTAAATGTCACCACAACTCGTGCGGGGGGCTGAGGTTAAGTGCAGACGAGGGGCAACGTATCGGATCGGACGGCTCCACTGGTTGCTTGTCAGATATGGCCTCTAGGCCATTTGTGAGCTGCAAGTTTTATTTTGTTGCCTCCGATGGCAGAGCATGCAAGACGATTGTGTATTCAATTGGAATAATTAGCGGTATCAGTCAGGATTTGTTTATGTTGCCTGCCATGACAAATATCCAAACGGAATCCATTTAAAGCAGAACTCAATACTTGTTTTTTAAGAATGTTGTACGATTGTAAAGTTGTTAAATATTAAAAAAGAAAAAGGTTATATGCAATTGTGCGTTTCCGAACCGAATATATACTTATTATGGTTGCTTGAAATATGTACCTTGCCATACAGATCATCGTTAGTTTTGACAATGGCAGGCAATGGGAGTGTGGCAATTTGATATACAATATACTTTTGTTCTCTCTTTAAGACAAGTATTCTTTACTCAATTACGGAGTACGTGTTTTATTCATATATTATTCTAAGTCGTGCAGGTATCGCTCTACTTACACTTTGACTATAGTTTTCATACAATTTATAATGATTATAATTATTATTAACCGGTTTTATCCTTGTCTGCCCAAAATTGTTTTTCATTCTTGATTTTAGTATATTAAGCCCCACACCTCTATCCGGCTAAAGTGTTTATGTCGTCTGTGCTCATAAAAGTTTTGTTAGGAAGTGATTTTGCTGGTAAATTAATTGGTAAGAAAAGCATAATAATACGTAACTGAATGTTAAGTTTCTTTTTACTTTTATTTTATTCAGCATTTAAAAATATATACCCGTTCGCAAAAGGTATCTTTACACGCAGCCATTTATGTGAAAGCGGCTGTGTTTTAAGATCACATTGGAAGAACATTTGCACTATCATTGCTTTGAACCTATATCCTGAATGATGAATAGACCAGATCATAAATCATAACAAACCAAGATTGTGAACTTCTGCTTCATTAAAGAATACTTTAGCTTACGCTTAATCTAGATTTGAACTATATTTCTTGGGGAGTATATGGCCGTAAATTTTAAAGCCTTAGCAAGCTTAATCCATTGATTTGATTTACTCTCAATATACTTTTGCATCTAAGTAGTTTCGCATAGCTCATAATCATTTATTGCTGCCGAAAGAGCTTCGCCCATTAAATCGACCATTGATAAATGATTTCTGACCCCAACGCTGCAAAATTAACAACCACTATTTGTCAACAATAATTAAAGCAACAAAGTTGTTGGGTTAAGGCGCCATCTCGTTGATATCGTTACTTTGTACGGCACCCACTTCATGTTTCAGATAACTCGGCTCTTTTCATAAAGCACCACTAAAGTGCCTGGGCAATATATAGTGAGAGCAGCAGGAATGCTCGAAATCTATGACTTGGTTCCTCTTCAATTAAGTGCTAGAGTATCTTGTTGGTCTTTTCATTAGTTTATCGACAGCATAAATTTTTCAAATGCTGCCCGTTGTCTGGGCCGCGTCGACAAAGTTGTTAGACAAGTTACAGGCGGGACGGGCAGGTCGGGCAGGACTTGTCGACTTGTAATTAAAAGGTTTTCTGGGAAGTGGGCAAGTGGCGCCGCATTGGGCAACCTTTCGCAAAACCCTTAACGTGAGAAAATTCCATTGCAAATGATATACACAAAATGTCTTATCAAGCGTCAGCATACCTGAACAAAAAGTATTTGCGTATGCTTGAGATAGCGCCAAACAAAAAGCGTAAATGTCAAAATGCCAAAATTAATTGCAATGGCAGTGCCATGGATAAAGCCTAAAAAACTGTCATGCAGCTCTGGCCTATGGGTCAAGAAACGACAACCTCGGCGGACGGGCTGGATGGCAAGGGGAGAGGAAGAGAACCAGTCAGTGCCCAGCCCAGCATTGCCCATTTTTTTTTTTTTTATTTTACCATTTTTGTTTTTTTTTTTTGTTTGGGCGCCATAAAGGCGACTTGTTTGGCACCACAGGAGGCATGTTCGTAAAAAGCAAAGGCGTAGCCTTAACGATTTATAGAGAGGGTTTGCATAATGCACCCTTAACAAATTTATGCGAAGTTACTGTGACTTAGTGCATTAGGTTATACAAATAATCATAATTGGTTATCAAGGAACTTTATTTGTATTTGTATGTTTTTTTTGTAGTTTATAAAAATGAGTTTATTTTAAATATTAAAAAGGTTATTATTAGGCTTTATTAGCAAATTCAATGTTGTTTTTAAAGACGCAAATGTAATTTTAATTTGTAATTTTGTACACTCCTTATGTAAGAGGACCTTTTCCCATGTTTTAAAAGGCCCCTCTTAAGCGATACCTGCGCCATTCAATTGAGTTCTGTTTATGCTTGCCACGCTGGCCACCATTACAAATTCTACCACTTTTGGCTCTGTCGCTTCTGCCACCACTTGTGCCATGCCACACGCCCCTCTCTTAGTCCCACTCCCAGTGCCAGTGCCAATTCCAGTTCCAGTTACAGAGCCCGAGCCAGAGACAGGAGCTAACCACAAGTTTGGTAACACGAGCTCGCGGCATTTATCGCGCCTGGCAATCAAGCAGGACGCCGCGTCGTCCCTGTCCGGCCCTGGACCTGGCGCACGGACTTCGTCTGCTTGCCACACAAAAAACTTGTTTCGTGCGCTTCGTCCCGTTGCGAGTGCGGGGCAACCTTTTGGTACCCATTTTGAGGTGGAGTCATCCAACGCGACGCGCTCATTGGCCCGTCCAGAGTGGCTCAGCATATTTGTAAGTGTGTGTGGGGCACACTCGTACCCACATGTATGTGTGAATGTGAGTGTAATTGTATTGGTAAGAAACATTGCTGTCCGTCTGCGTTTCATTAAAGTTTCGCATAAATTTTGTTGCATGTCTGCGGCAGTTTATGGCCGGCCACGTATCGCACACGCATTTCGAGTCCATTTCATTTGGAACTTGTTAGTTTTTCCTATATATAGTTTTCCCATAAAAATTATATATGTACAGTCGGGCCTGCGCCTACGACCGAGCTGCTTTTCAAACAGGTAGCCGCTTTTTCGTGCCGTGTGGCGTTTGTCTCTGTTATGAGGCAGTTTTCTGGACATCTTGTTTCTTTTGTATTTACTTCGTTTTCAGCCACATTTGTCGCCTCTCGCATTTCGCTGCGCCTATAAATAATTGGGGCTTATCGCCACTGAGTTTCTTTGCATTTAATAAATTTAATTTGTGGTAATTGAACTTGTTGTGGACACTGTCAACGGTGCCCAGTGCTTGTGTTTTATCGCTGCGACACGCATTTATCAATCTGTTGTATATAAAATTCTTAACTTAATTGCACATTTTTCAGGCAAAAAAAAGCTATTCATTAAGCAGGAAGCATAATTTTTTTTTGCTGCCAGGCTGGACAAATGTTTCTAGCTATGGTTTTGCTTATTAACTAGATGTGGGATTACACATGAATATATCAAAATGTATCAAAAGATAACACATTTTTGTAAAACGTCAAAACGAACTAAAGTATATTTAACCAGTAAGAGGTTCAGTAGGGTGCTCCCGACTAGGGGGGGGTTTGGTGACTCTAGCTCTCATTATTTACCAAAAAAAAAAACAGGATATCAATATCTATTATTATTGATTGCTAGGAAACGGAGTAAGTTATCGATTATCGGAAACAAACTCGATCTGCGCAGCACCTACATCTAAAATTTCAAGTCTCTAGCTCTTATAGGTTCTGAGATCCTTGCGTTCATACATACGGACAGACGGACAGACAGACAAACGGACATGGCTGGATCGACTTTTAATGCTAATCAAGAATATATATACTTTATGGGGTCGGCGATGCTACCTACTGCCTGTTACATATATTTGGATCTTGCACAAATAAAATATACCCTTATACCCATTTTTAATGGGTTCAGGGTATAAAAATAATGTTGTTTATTCTGTTCGGGAACTTGGTGATTTTAATTTAACTAATTATACTTTCTACTAAAATGATTTGCCTTAAAAATTAGAATTAATAATTTAATTAAAGATATATATACATTTAGTAAATTTATGAAATAATCTATAATAGTCAGCTCGGGCCTTTCAAGTGTTCTGTACCTGCATATTTTTATTCGGTATTGTAACAAAAATAACATAAGATTATTGTATTTATCAAATATATATTTGATATCTCCCCAAAGCAACGCTTTCTCATATCTCGTAGTTATTCATTTCGGATAGTGTATATGCATTTTAGGTATTTTACGATCCTCAGAGGGAATTGATGTCTGCTGAATAAATGAATACATATTAAAGCAATATGCTTCAATTATTGGTACCTATATAAAGAAATGTATATATCTATTTAAAGTGAGACCAAGGTATGATTATTCTATTGGCTAGGCAAAGGCTATCGAAGAAAGTGCTAGTTATTACCTTTAAGCTCGGTTGGTTACCATAGAGTAAATGTTACTAGATAGTATATCGTTAAGCTCTCGGAAAGCGATTTTATTTGAAATGAATTTGCTAGTGATTCTAGATCACATTATCTCTAAATCACATTAATATTAAATAGATAGATAGAATCAGGTTTACTTAAGTTGCGACAAACTTGCTAAATTAAGTGTGTTCTCAGCATGTCTTGATGCTAAGTGTTAATAATTACACCAAGTATTACAAATTAAATAATCCATTTGTATTTACAATCAAATTGATTAAAGATTAACTTTAATTTACACTTGACAAGGTGTGAGAATTATCAATTATACTTATACGATGATTACATAAGTTGCATTACGCGGCTATTAAGACGATAAATGGCAATTGGCGCGGCGCTTGGCAAATGAACTGCCAATTAAAGTGCACATAAAATACCAACACATTTGCCTCTTTTTAACGCAAGAATTATGGTTAATTTACAGATTTGTTTAATATTAATGATTATGAGCGGTGCGTTCGTGCGGCCGTGAATATGTGTTTCATGATAAATGATTATAATTATGGCGAGCGGGCACAATTCAAAATGTTGCGCATACGCCACGAGAGCCACAAAAGCCGGAGCATGAAAGTGGGCAGTCCCAAGAGTGCCACAACAACAAATGCACACACACACACACACACGCTCACAGCGAGCTCACAAATATCTAAACAGCAAATCAAGCAAACTTTAATATGGCTACAATTTGATTACGAGCGCCAGCGAGAGCGAACGAGCGGGCGAGTGACTGAGGAGTGAGAGAGACCGAACTAGCGAACGCCACAAAGGCAACACCCACTGCTATAACGCGATAGCGTGTGTGTCTGTGTGTGTGTGTAAGTGTGTATAAGTGCGATTGTGTGAGGTTAAAG